TGCTAATCTATTTGATAATACATCAATGCTTAATACATCTGCTGTAATTTTATCCTTGTTTCATTCTGATGGAGCTTACTCCAGGAGGCAGCATGAGATGTATAGGAAAAACACTCAGTTAAAAATCTGGAGTTGTCACATGTTTATAATTGCACCTTTATTCCCACACATGTAATGCCACTCTCAAATCTGCAGCCATTCTTTTTCCTGACTTTGAAGTACTCTCATTTGCTCCATTGTTTTTATTGCAATATTACTGATTTGATATTCCATGGGTTTTTTTCTACAATAAAATTGTTGTAATTAGTAAGAATTTTATTTGTAATTAAAGAAAACTTAAAAATGTAGAGAAAAACTTAACATGCATTTGAACAAGTATTTCATTCACAAAATATTTTGTTCCTTTCTGTGTAAAGCTTCTGAAGAAATTGTGGCTTTATAAGAGTGTGCTTGTCCTTGTAAGAAACAAAGTAGTTTACTCCCAGAACTACTTGACAGGAACATATTTGTAGAGCTGTACTTAAACAAATTAATGAATACAAAAACCCTTTGGTCTCACATTGAAACTGTTAAGTCAGTTTGTTTCAGAGAAGGAAGGTGTGTACATAATGAACGATTGTGCAGTTTAATTGCTGAGCGAGAGCACGTTGAATACTGTACATATTTTTCTAGGGAAAAAAAAAGCACAGATATTTGTTAAACTGAGATTCTGAGTATCTACAATTAATTCTGCTGACTTGTATGCCTGACACACATTTAGACTTACTTCCTCAGATACTTGAATTCCCTTCTTCCCAGTCACTAAAATGGCATTCTACAAGAAAATACAGATTCTTCGTCTGCTTGTTCTCTTCATCAGTGTGTCTTTTCCTAACAGAATTGATATCACTCGAAATGACCTCCCCTGGGAATTTATGACAGACCGTCTGCCAACCATTTTATTTTTTCCTCATCAGAGGTAATGTAGTTCTTTTCCCTGTGGGTTTTTAGCTTTCATTTTAATGAGTTATAATAATCTGGTTATATGTTTCAGTAGAGAGAAAAGCCACCCAGTAATTTGTTTCCATATATGCATTCTTTATGCATATTCTAACTAAAAAACAAACCAACCAACAGACATGGATAGCTGATGGTGTGCAGACAGCAAACATTCTCTCCAAAGGTCATTATTTAGTTGTATGTAAGTCTGTATTTATGAACAACAGTTTTACTAATCTTAACCTCCCTCAGTTAATTGTCCTTATTATTTTGTTGTATTTTAAATTATTATTTTGGTATGGTCCAAATAAATTAGTGAGTGACTACAGCAAGGGGAAAATTAGGAGATATAATGTAGATGATGGTGCAACATAGATGTAGTGCAGCTTGTATCTAATTGATTCTAACTGGATAAAATAAGAGAGGTCTCAGAGAATGTTGTAGGGGGTTCTTGCAGTAAAGTGCAGGAATTTGCTTGCTATGTTTTTAATGAAGAGAAATTAAAAAATAAGCGCAGATGGAGAGTAAGTAATCCAGCCAAAAGTTAGTGTCTTGTAGGAGAACAAAAACTTAACAGTCCTGATGTCACAGAGGCAGGGCAGATAGATTGTTAACATGGTTTTGAAGTAAAAAATCTGGCTTGAAAAAAAAAAGAATCTGAGTACTAAAGAAGGGCTTGTGCATCCTTTGGAAATACAACAGTGCTCCTAAACTGTGGATTTTTATTTCTTTGTCACTCCTTTGGGGTCAAATGAATATGATGTAATCAGAGGGACTTCAGAGTGTTCATTGCTCCAACTGAGGTTCTTTCAAGTTGTGTTTCTCTCATTGTTCTGATGTTTGGCTTTTGAGGGGAATGATACAGTCTTCAAGTGACAGCCATGCTTGGCAATAAAGTTATTTCATGTAAGAGTTCCCTGTGTAACCTAACATTGTGGTTACTGAAATATCTGTTTTCTTTGTTAAAACGACACTTACTACTTCACTTGCACATAAATGCATTTTTTTTTTTTAAGTTCTAAAAACCAATTTTTGTTGAAACAGCAGAGACTTTAATTGTCTTTAGTGTCCATAGGCCTATTGACTAAATCCTTTATAGCAGTAACTTAAGAGAAAAGTGATAATTACACAGCATCTGCTTTTACAGATACTATAGAATTACATGGTGGGAATTTGTGTATATTGTCAAAATGTTTTGGTTTTCATTCTGCCTCAGTAACAAGTGCTGGACTTTTCAAAGGAGAAAAGTAGCAGCAGATTTGTTGGCTTTCTAGGAGCCTTGTGTTGTTTCTTGAAAAGAGAAAACAAATGACACTTCAGTGGCAGTTTAACACCTACTGAGGAAAATACCAAAGGAGATTAGCAGTAAAACAAGGTGTACTGCTGTTGAAGTGAAACAATATACAGCAAGCAGGACCTCAGAGATAGAGCCAAGAAAGAAGAGTGTACAACAGGGAACTGTATTTTCAAAGAGACTACTAGAATTAAGAACAATTTCTGGGATGACAAAAGCAAGCAGGGTTGGAAGAATGGAATTGATTCATGAATGAATGAACAAAAAAAAAAGTAAGATAAAGGAGGGTGGGGTAGAGAAAGGCACAAAAAATTGGTCAGGAGAAAAAGGAACTCTAAAGTTTGGGATGTAAAAGGGCAAGAGAGTACATTTAGGACTGGAATGGTACCTGGACTGTCATACAATGGTCCTGAATCTTATTATTCCTCTGCAGCAGGGAGAAATTCTAAAATTCAGTGTCAAACCGGTGTCATTTCTGATCTGTACAGGTACACACAGTGCAGGCACATCCAGCCTCTTAACAGACTTGAGGAACAAGAAAGAAATATTAGGTGCAAGAGAGCCACAAGCTTTCAGAAGTGCTCAATTTATTGTTTCAGATGTGATTTTAGTGCTACATCTATTCCCCGTGCATTTAACTTGATTTACCTTGGGTTTTGTTTTTCTTTTTTTAAAAGATTAATATTCAGTTGTACACAATTACAATTTTTATAGAACAGAAATGAAAACAAGTACTGTAATAAGTAACTGCCTCCTTGCAGGGTAAAATAAAGAAGTTGATTTCCACTGTTCTCCCTCAAGAACTGTTATCAGCAAATGGTAATTCAGACTGTTGGTGCTGTGCACTGTTACCTACCACAAAAATCTTTAAACCTGTGCCTTAAGTTTTGCAAGTCTAAATTCATGTTTTAATACAGTACAGAAATAATTTCATATATATTAATTCTGAGTCACCCTCACTTCCAACTCATCATCTCTCGTACTTTGTGCAGTAAGCCCTACAAATCAGCCTGAGATCAGGCTCCCTCTGCCACAGTCCTGCAGCTCAGATCTACTCCTCCTCTGTTCCTGAGGTTAACTGAGCAGGGACTAAGTGGAGTAGTTCCAAGGTGTGTGCCTGTCTACATAACAGCAGTTGCCTGCATCTGCTGCTTAGCAAAAGCTGCAGTCCTCATTGCCAGGACTCCAGCCCAGTTACCTGTTAAGTTTCACAGATTCCACTTGGTCTCAGTTTTGTGCATTTTCCAGCATTCAGATACTTTACCTCTCATTTGCACAGTCCATTAGTTCTAGCTGGCTTGAGTGGCTACACACAGAGGCCCTGCTGGTTTAAAGGTGAGTAGTTGCAGTTTTAGTTGAGATGAGCCACATGAGTTTTGGGAGGTGTTGAAGACAATGGGGACAAGTAGTCATCCTGTGCTGTTGTCTTCTACTCGGTTAGGTCAAGTGGCATATACTGAAGACTACTAGACCTAACCAACCATAGTCACAACCACTGGAATACTCGTGTGACTAATTTTAGGGCTGGATAAAGTTAGAAACTGTTTTCCAAATATTGTCGTGGTTACGGTTTTAAGACCACTGTACTAAGTTAATGAGCCCAAACATACTACTTGGAAAGGAGTCAAATGACCTTCCCTCACACTTCTGAGTGAGGATCTAGTTTGCAGAACCATGTCTTCTAGGGGACAGAGTGAGTGTCATGCATAACATAAAGGTTTTTCTGGAATTATTTTAAAGCATAGCTTAAGCAGGTTTTAGAGCAATAGAAAAAAAAATACATGGTAAATGAAGTTTCTGCTAATACTTACCATCTTCCCTGTGTTCCTACAAAGTCCTGTGTTCCCTATTTCTTTTCACATTTTGCCTTAGTCTAGTCTGTTTTATAAAGCAGCTGGAGACAGTCTCTGGAGTGACAGACTTTATTGTTTTAGTAGGGTTATTTTTGTAACGTTCCAGTTGGTTTTACAAAGGTACTTGGCTGTAGTCGTTTTCTCTCCTGCTTTTCCTGTCCAGTGCGTTTTATATTCTGCCACATCTTGATAATCAAGAAAATTAGGGTTTGATAGTATTTGAAAATTAGCATTTGATAGTAAATATCAGTTTTGGATGTGAAGGTGCCTCATAGCTTCCTGTGCAGCTCCTTATGTATTTGCCTTATTGAGACCATTCTTACATATTAACTCTGTTCCGTTTCTTTCCACCACATGCTGTTAATATTTTGGTTTGCTTTTTGTTTTAAATAGCCTTTTAGCTTTTCTGATTCATTCTCTGGGTCTGATCAATAGGAATGGATGATTAGCACAGACTATTTTGCTGAAATGGTCATGATTCATTGAATTTGGATGTGAGCTGACTGTCAGCTGAGAAACTGCTGATGGTAGTTTCAAGAGTAACTTGGTTGATACCAGAAGCCTGCAGATTGCTTATGCTTCTAGAAATAGTTTAATTTGGATGAACGGGAGCCTTATCTGTCTGAAGTTCTTGAATTACTGATAAAGTACAGTATCTGTCTTCTACCTGAAATGCAAGAAGTAGTTCTCAGTAAATTACATTAGCATATAGTTAGATCCCATATGCTAATGAGTTGGATTTCACAGAAAGCATTTTTGAGGCAACTGTAATGGGTAACTGAGTAATCACCCTGTTCCAGATGCACAGTGCAAGCAATTCAGAAACATGTCACCCAGGAGGGTGTGGAAGTCGTCCATGGTGTGTTGTACAGGTGCCAAACTTTATGGCATTAGGCACTATACTTGAATCTGGCTTTCCTGCTTTGGAGTAATTTCTGTTTGGGTTTATCCTGTGTCCTTTCTCTGATGTAATTAAACCATGTCTGAATGTATACTACATACCCTTAATCTGGTTATGAATTTGGCAACCAAACTAAGCTTCTCTGTTTTGATGGCTCTAAAGGAACAGGGAATATGCTTCTGACTGGCAAAGGGTGAAGACAATACAAAGTGATAAACTGTTAGCTAGCTTCCCAGCTAAACATACTGAAGTGTAAGTAGCTCTACTGCAAGAGTCAGGAGCCAGCCAACTCATGTTACATGCTGTGTAAAGGTTGAAGATGTAACTGGTCCAGAAAAAGAAGGTTAAAAGTTCCTGTCTGGTCCTGAGGACAGTTTAGCCTTCTTTGTTTTATGATAGAAGTAAGCATGTGGTCCAAAAATGGTAATAAATTTAACATTTGACAGAGCTAGAGGTTGTGTGTACCTTTTGGTGGTTAGTAGTCTTGAGGAAGAAATTTGGTACTTGTAGGCAGCTCAACTCTCGTGTCAGGTTAAGTGTAACAGTTTGTGCTGCTGCAGAAAGCAGTGGGCATACCCCCTGGGCCACAGGGGGAGCTTCAGGGGAAAAAAAAACAAACCACACAAACACCACAACAAACATGCACAACAAGTTGTTTGGTTTGCTTTCTTGATCACCTCAGTGGCATAAAAATTCAGAAGAGGAAGTACAATGATGTAGTTTGACAGCAAAAGGGCCTTGCTTCTGACTAAAGTGACTACTTAAAAGCAAACTGTGATTTTCTCCTCCTTAAAATACCCTTCTGATGTGGGAACTTAAGCTACTACTTCTAGAATAACATAGAGGCTCAAGATGGTAATTTCCCATCAGACAGCATCATACATCTGGACTTAACTTCTAATAATGTATATTAGGAACACTTCCAATGCTCTCCTTAAGCTACTTTAACATTTGTTATTATCTGTGCCCTCTGATCACACCATCTGTACTTCAAGCTCATATCCCATAACTGGGGTGGGTTTTTTAAGAGTAAAATTTATTTCCTGGCACTTGACAGAAATTTTGCTCTTGCACAAATGCCAATCCAGTGCAGAGATGCTTACAACACCTAGCATGGAATACATGTAAAAGGGTTCATTAAAAAAAAAGTGTGCTCTCTTTATTGCATGAGTTTAGGTTTCTCTTAAACAGATAAAAAACCCCAATAAGACATGGAGGTAAATAGCAGGTGCTTAGATAAAATTATCATTGCATACTTATCTGAAGAGTTTTAATATTAATTTGTCTTTCTAGGAAGGAACAAAGTGTGAAGTTCCCTGAAGACTTTCTAGTTAACCTTCCTAATCTCCTTAAATTTATTTTAAATCATTCAAGTGTTTCTTCATCAGAGCCCTGTACCAAAGAATGCCTACACAAAGAGACAGTTCAACAGCAAGGACACATCTCCCACTTAGAGAGAGAAATTCAGAAGTTAAGATCAGAAATCAATGCCCTTCATCAGGCCCATGACCAGCTTGAAGCACAGCTTTCTGAAGCTAAGAGAGAGGAACACAGACTACAGCAGCAAAAACACACACTGGAAAAGCAGCACAAGACACTGCAGCTCCACAGTGAGCAGCTACAGGCCACGTACGACCAGAAGCAGCAAGAACTATTAGAAATGGCTGAAAAACTTCAAGAATTAGCTGATGCATCAGAAAACCTCCTTAAAGAAAACACTCTGCTGAGAATCCTGGTGGCATCAAGGGAAGGAAAGCTACAGAGCAATGATGAACCTAAAGAATCCCTTCAGCCAGAGCAAACAGTTTCTGAAGATGTATCAGTTTCAACAACTGCTGCCACATTAGAGGAAAAAAGGATTGATAGTACAGGTATCATAGAGACAGAGCACAGTAGTGGAAACAGGACAGAATGATTGCTTACACAAAGTCAAATGATGCAGTATTGGGTAGGTATTTATGCAAATTTTATTGAAATTCATTGTAAATAAAGACTTCTTCCCCCACATGATCTAGAAAAAGAAAAATCAAATGGAATTATTTTTATATACTTGAACAACTTATTAGATACCCACATCTAAAGAGAAGAGGAGAATGGAAAACACTTTCTGCACTTTACAATTGCACTAACTTGCAAACACCTATCCATTTAAAGATGTTTATTTTTAGGAGCAGCAGTATGAAGCACCTTTAAGGATCATTTATTTTTCACAGGCTTTCTCTTACAGCTGCTAGAAGAGAGAGAAATCAGACCTTTGAGTTATACTTTTCCATTATTTCTGAAGTTTGCCCTTTACACTGCATTCTCTTTGCTGAATTAAAATAGATACATCTCCTGTAATCAGTGAACTTGACGGGACAAAGTCATCTTGCTACAGCTGTTCTGTTCTAGAACTTCAGCACTTTGTATCACTTTTGTATACCAGTGACCTGACTGTCTTTAAACCCTCAAGAGCCATGTGTGAACTGTTCTCTGCTGAAAACTAAAGAAAGTCTTACTGAATTAATCCTTTTCTCTTTGTGTTCTAAAAAGTGTAGAGTCCAGCAATTTAAGTGTATGGGTCTGGCTATACATGAGACTAGTATCTTAAAAAAAGAACTACACATGTGCCAGGGTAAGAACGACCCTCTGAATCAGCTGTACTCCAGATTATACTCAAGGCAACAGGAGCTTTTTTCCTACTGACAGCATTAATTTTACTTCAGATTATAGCCTCCAATATAAAGAAAAGGCAAAGGTAGCACTAAAACTGCAACTCAACATCTTACTGTAGATGAAAGGGACAAGACTTTTTAGATATTGTCTTGCATATTGTTATAGTTCTCAAGCTTGCTAGGCCTATGATACTTGGTTATTCCATATGCAGAGGGATAAGAAGCAAGTCTAATGCTTCCTATAGAGCTAATTCATTATTGGTAACTTACCTCAGGGAACAGATTTACAGTAGCTTTTTTTCACCTAGGCAATAAAGTGTTTATGCATAGCTTCCTTTGGCTACTGATTTTTGAAGTCATAGAGGACAGGTCAGCAGCCTCAAAGCACATGTGCCTACCCTTAGAGTTTTAAAATATATAAGCTGCCTTTGGTGGCTCAGTGTTGTTCCTTCTCCTTCCCTTCCTGTCTCCTCTCCTCCCCCCAACCTTTGAGGTCCAGAATTGCCCATTCAACACATCTTTTTACAGTTCCCATAGCAGAACCATAGTACAGAGCAGGAACTAGAACAGATGTGCTTATTTGGAAAGACTTTGCCATTGCTAGCTAAAAACATGTACAGCAATCTCCCTGGCCCATATCAATATCTGGTTTTGTAGGAAAAACTGAACTGTACTACTACAAGAGAAGGTTAAGAGAGTTATCTACAGGATACATTAACCGAGTTCTACAGTTGGCTCTTTGTAGACTAAAATGCCTTTTTAAAACAGGCTGTTAACACATACCACAACTGCTAGGTACACAAACAGAGGTTCTAGGAAAAAAAAATAATCATACTAGTTGCACTTAGTGCCAGCTTTAATAAGTAACTGCTTCTGCAGTTTCAGCATGCAGACCTACAGGAGAGAAAAGCCTGCTCTACTGCCCTTTTGAACTCTAGAAACCCTCTGGACCATCCCTAAGAGTTCAGGATCCATCACCAGTTCCCAGTTTGGAATCCATCAAAATGGCAGTTTCCTTGCAGTTTCCTTCTACATAGCTAGAGCTCTGCTCTAGCAGCCAAAAGCTTAACCTGCTTAGCTGCAACTAAAGGAGATCGCTTCCTTTCTTGTAGCTCCCATGTTTCCTCCCTTAACATGTTACTGAAAGCTTATACCTTCTTTTCAAAGAAGGTATTCTGCATCAGTCCAATAAGTTGTTAAAAGTAGGAGTTCTGACTTTATAGCTGTGCACTCAAGTTAGTAGCAGAAGCTTTAACTGCAGGTTTGGTTTTGAAGGCCTGGAATTCCATCTACAATTGTGGTTCAGGAGTACATAATGATAGGAGAGTTGCATCATATTCTTCCCATGTGCTGTGGAACAAAAAAAAAAAGCTTCTGGCAGCCTATTTACAGTTCACAGTTGTAAAGTAGTTCACATTACAGTAGTAGCTCCATCAAAATAGGCTCAGCTCAACATTCAAGTAACAAAAAACACTAGCAGTCTCTTCACACCAATATATATCCCTGTGTCCATTGCCAGCAACGGACATTATGCCAGGTGAGTCAGCTCCTGTCATAGGGGATTTAGGATACACAGTTGATGCAAAGTGCAAATTCTCAGTGCATGCAGTTGCCAACAAAGCTTATTTAATCCTCATCAGCGTGTTTTCTGATGAGCAGTGTGCATGTGACCAGGTTCTTCACAGTACAGGGATTCTTCTGCTGGTTACACACATCATAAGCATGGTCTGTGTACACGTGTTGCTCCAGGTTAGCTATGTACTTCTGTGCCATTTGGAGTTAGCTTAGCTTTCCTCTCCACACAAGGTCCTTTGGCAGAGTACTGCACCAGAAGAAAGGGCTCTTTGGTTTCTCCTTCACCCACAATGCTTTCCTCATCCTCAGACTGACTGAGTCTCTGCAGACGCAGGTAACACCAGCAGCCCAGGATCAAGGCACCAAGAGCTGCAATTGCAATCAAAATAACAATAACAGTCACCACCCCAGTGGTGGGGCTGTGATCCATAATAGACATGGTCAATAGTTCAGATCGTGTGACTTCTTTAAGGAGATAGTCTTCTGTCCTCACTGTCGGGCTTGCTGCATCCTCAGACTCCTGCAGTGGGAAAGAGACACTTGGTGAAGTTGTGCAGTTTTACCGCGTTCCACAACAGCGTATTCACCGTCGGTGTCCTCCACAGTGGCACATGACCCTCCTGCAGGCACTGCTTTGTGCCTCTCAGTCCTGCAGATCTTGTTTTAAGCTATTACTTAAATTGCCTTCCAGGATGCAGGTTTCTACATCAAGCTAAAGGAAATGAAAGCTAAATTTCAGCTATTGACATGATTATCAAGGTAACACATGGCCATGCTACTTGTATCTGGTAGCAATTTTTACTAGGAGACCAAAGATAAGATGCAGACACATAATAATACTGACTGCATGGAAGTTAGTTACACAGAGAGATTTAAGACTACACAAATGCTAGATGGTGGGTTAGCTCTCAAATCCATGACAAGGTAGCAGACCAGCTACCTTTAGTTTTCCTAAAGGAGTCCTACAAAAGCAGTACATTTGAGAGTCAGGAGTCTGGCCCTTTCAAAAATGTCATGTTCAAACATCCCCTGTACATACCAGGAGTTCTAGGACTGGTAAACTAATGGCAAAGTTAATTGCAATACTAATGTATTACTATAAGCCTCTCAACACACATCTGTTTAGAAGAGTTGACTATGTGGTAATTAACTCATTGAGCTGATAAAAACAACAGATGTTGCTTTATATGCATTTCTCTTAAGCAGTTGGAGCTAGATTTATTGAAGACTAAGAAACCAGAAGGGCAAGATCATTATTTTAAAATTCTGCTTCTCTTGATGGCTTTCAAACCACAGGAGTAAAGTAGTGCATTAGGTCCACACCTGAAATTGGAACAGAGGCAGCAGGCACTTCCAAATTCACTCCACTATTTAAACAATCATGTGAGCTTTGCCTTAAATTTCAAAGTTACTGTTTACAGAGTTGGTAGCTTTATGTTCCTTTGCTTCTAAGGGGATGTAAGACAAAGTCATTCATTACCTTTTGCTTGTTGCCACCCTGGCTTTTTAACAAGACAGATTCATGTAAGACTTTGGTAGAGACCAGAGCCAGTCCTACCCAGGAACAAACCTTAGAACATGTAGGAGTCAGGTTAGGGCTCAATACTACAATTTCAGGTACGACAGAGTCCCTAGTAGTGCTCAGGCCAGCTGCAGGCACAGGGTGCTGGCATTTCAGCTGACGCGTAGCCACTGACTGGCAGTAGAATAACAGCATCTTCTGCTACTCCGTGGGCCACGTACTTTTCCAGGAAAGGCTCTTGCTCATCATCCTTGTTGCAATCTCTCAGCTGCAAAAGCAGCATCTTCATACAGACCACTCAGGAGAAGTCAGTCTTACCCAACCTTGAGCCAGAACCATTAGCTGATTGCACTTTACACTGCACTTGACTCTCACGTTGACATGCTGGGGAGAACTCAAGGCAGTGCAGTATCTTTACCAACAGAACTCACCCAGGAGCAGTTCAGCATCAGTGTCATTAGGGTCCAGTGTCTCACACACTGGCCACATTTCCCACCCTGTAAACTAGAGCAACACATAGCTTGTAGTGTACCCAGTACAACCAGCCAAGTCCTGCAGACCCCATTGTGCCCAAGTAATGAAAACACTAACCACAGCACACACCCTCAGCAGAGGGGTGCACGCCCACTACAGCTGGAGTTGTGTATGGTTTTTGTCATGGTCACCCTGGTTCTTTCATGCTTATCCAACACAGGATGATCAGCTGAGGGTGATTAACAGTGACATTCATGTAGTTCATTTTCCTCAGGGCATGGCTGCACTGCAGCACTGTCTAGTCTAGCCACAACAGTACAGCATCAGCAGGAGAGCTTACCTTGCTCCTCGTACAGACACTGCACATGCACTTTAAGCCCTGTTTTGCAGCTTGCTCAATGGCTAGCAGCAAGGACAACCTACTAGCACTGTCTCCCTACAGCAGTTTGGTGCAGTACATAACCTCGCACTGGAACCAAACAGCTACTGGCACTTAGGAAATAGCTTTTAATACTGGAAAGCAGCATGAGGAACACTACCCCTATGCCAGACTTCAAGCAAGACAGCATCAGCTATATAAGGTATGAAGCTTTGCACATCACTGCCCTCTATATGACCAGGATCTTTTGGCAAGCTCTTTTCAGACTTCAGCATAATAGCTAGATTGGCACAGACCTTTGCAAGCAGGCTTGGAAAACAACTTTGGAAGCAAGAGCTAGATGTAGGTCCTTTGTTACCTAGAGCTAACATCTGTCTGGACTACAAGAGTGTTTCTCCCCTCCCCTTTTTAACAGCCACAGACTGCAGTGGTCTCAGTTTGACCTGGAAAAACACATGCAGGTCTGCAAGTTCCTATCTGAGGGAGGAACTGGGCTCTTCAAGTGTGGACACATCTGGTGAGACAAGGGTTTCTCTTACCAGGTTACACACTGGGCTCCTGCCAGGCCCATTTCTTTTGGGATCCCAAGGAGTATGGCTGGACCACTAAGTCCACTCTTTGGGACAGTTTTTTTTCTGAACAAAGCATGCACACAGGCAGTTCAGAGTGTTTACAAGAGGTAGGCATTTATTGCTGTCCTTATGGGAAGAGCTGCACGGTATTTTCTCAGTTATTCTTCACCGTTCTTGGACACTAGTGCTTAACACCACAATTACTGCTTAACAACACTGCTACTGCTTGAAGCTGAGAGGCAATTTAACCTCTACTCCACCTTTATGAAAAATCCTGATGTTAAGCTATACAGAGATCAGACCCAAGTCTCTAGTTTATTTCTCAGCAGACACTGGGAAGAACATTGCAGACCCACGTGCACTCCATGAGCGGGTGACTTCAGTCACTGGTAATTCCCACACAGCTGATGCTTCTGGAAGAGATTAAGTTCTACAGCAGATGCCAGTCAGGAGCATAAGTAGAGAGTTTCAAAGTGCAGAGCTGGCCAGAAAGAACATGATTACTTTGGGTATGACAGCTTTATTTCTTTATCCTCTGCTCTAGCAAGTCAACTCAGCTTAGTCATGGCAGCTCCTTCTAGAATAAATTCACATGTGATCTCACATTAATACTGTCAAGATAATGAGGTTGCATCAAGAAGCCCTTTCCAGCTTCTGTTTGGAAAGCTCCTCACATCTTTATACCACACTAGTTAATGTTAAGAACTGTAGGAGAAAACAAGCTTAAATATCTTTGGAAAGATTATTCCATAGACATTTATCTTCTAGGAAAATGACATAAAATTCAAGGTCACTTTCTCAAAGCACTCCAACTCCACTTCTCAGTGAGATACAGATGAAGTGCAGAAGTCATTCCCTCAGCAGGGATACCCTCTTCTCCCTCCCACTCAAGGAGTCTGGAGCCAGTGCCCTACATCAAGTTGGGTATTAAGCATCTGTGGAGATTTACAACAGCACAATGGCTGGTTAATGGCTGGTTAATGGTGCATGACAGTAACTGGGGTGGTAGCACTGTTACTTTATTAGCTTTGGATGGTTTTGTTTCAAAAACCTGCAGCATTCTGGCACTGAAAGGTACAGCACTGTTGCTAGCTCACACTGCTCTTTTTCTGGCTTAAGGTCACTGTATACCTAGAGCTAAAGCTCTCCTGTAGCCTGAATTCTATCCTTAGCACAGTCCATTTGCATGTTGTAACTATACTAGTAGGAACTACCAGAGAAGCCTTTGGTTTCTGTGTTTTCTAGACAGAGAGCTCCAACCTCACTACTCTTTCCACCAGCAACTAATTGAAATCAAGGTTAAGCTCTCCCAGAGCTCCCATCTTGATGGGGGAAATACCACACTGTAGATCTCCTTACACTGATCTAAAGGAGATTACAACTAGCTCACTTTAAGGGACTCACTTTCCCTTAAAGCATACCTGAGCTGAAAAAAGCCCAGGAGCATACCAGGAGCAGCACTTAATTTAGCATTTTTAGTGTAAGACATAAAAAGGTGTAAATTCCTGATCTTCAAAGGGATTACTAATGCCATTCATATATACTTGGTGGTGCTTCTAGTGCTATATCCCCTCCCACCATACCTGCTGTCAAAGCAAGCATCTAAGCACATTTACTCATTAGCAAGATTAGTCAGAACCATTGGTGGGAACTGCAAATAGCCAATCTCAGTTCTTAAAGCAATCAGGCAGTGAAAACATCAGCTATAATCCATTTTTCCAGAAATAACTGCTTCTTTTCTTTTTTTGACTAATACTAGCTTCTACTCAGAACTTAATTTCTGAAGGTTTTTTTATCCAATTCAGAAGCTTTAAGTAAAGGACAAACAGAAAAGCAGTTTAAATTGCAGAAGGCTGCTAGGGGACAAATTCAATGCAAGGCTAGCATTACTTTCTAAACCAAGTTTTTCATTATTATAGGCATTCTGCTACTAAGTTTGCTGTCATTAATGCCTGCAGGCGTGTTTCTGAAAATAAATACTGCTACCATAGAAGCCAAAGCTGTAGGAAGAGGCTTTAAATGCCAATCTACTATAGCTCACATATATACACTAAGTCCTCAAGCAGTTATGTCTGAAGTGCAAGTATCAAGTCTTTGGGCTTTGTTTTTTTTGGCTGGGGGGAAGGTGAGAGGTGTACTTTCTATTATAGTATTTCACCTAAAACAAGTTGAATGAGGCAGGGCAAAAGAATAAAACTACCAGAGTCACCTTCAGCCTAAAACTTTTTTTAGAATTTAGTCATGACTCAGTTAAAAAGCCACCGTGTTTAAGACCTTTAAGAGACAAAATATCAGCAGCTTGCACAATATACTACTCATTGTGGAAAAAAAAGGTTTTTGCTCTATGTGCCAGTAAGATTACTTTTGGGGAATGCGCATACTCATCACAAGAACATCTTTATTGCTAATGAAAGATGAAGGAAAAACCCTCTGGGGAAATCAGAGCTGTAATTTTACCATGGGCACACAAGACAGGAGTGCTCAGGCTTCAC